CTTTGCAATTTTAGAGAGAGGAAAGGGATTTATTTGTGTATACTAATTTGCAGAGTGACAATAGGGTTGAGGTTTGTTATTTCTTACCTCTATACAGTATTCATTTACAGGCAGTCCCCGAGTTACGCGGATCTGACTTATGTTGGATCCGCAGTTACGAACGGGGTTTGCTGCCTGTCTCCCTGGTCTGCTAAGACTGGGAGCAAAGCCTCTGAGGATGCCGGCAGCGGGACAGCCACGGCGTGTCTGGGCTGTCCACTGCCCGCATGCTCCCCAGCTTTGCTCCCCGTCTCCCTGGTCTGGGGAGACTGGGAGCAAAGCCGCGGAGCACGCGGGCAGCGGACAGCTCAGACGCGCCGCGGCTGTCCCGCTGCCGGCGTCCTCAGAGGCTTTGCTTCCAGTCTCCCTGGTCTGCTGCTCTCCAGCAGACCAGGGAGACAGGCAGCAAACCCCATTCGTAACTGCGAATCCGACATAAGTCGGATCCGCGTAACTCGTGGACTGCCTGTACTCAGTTCTGCACTGTACAAGAAATAACAGAACTCAGGCATTTCTGCATCTTCTGAGTTAATTCAGGATTAATCTGTGTAATTTAAAAGTATGTGAAAGGCCAAACTTCTAACTAGCTTTTTAGTTGCTCCCATGGTCTCGTGTCAGTGACTTAAGATCATGGATTCAAATCCAGGTGCTCAAATATAATGCTGCTCCAGCTGCATCTCTTACAGAGATGGTTCAAGTAAGCACATTTTTCTGACTTGAGATTTGCTTTTCCAAAGGGGAGCAGTGTCATTTTCTCTGCTTTCAATAAATAGACTACACCAATGAGTGCATACTGCTCCCACTTCAGTTTAATCAGGGGCAATGTAAGCCATTTCCTCGGACACCAGGGGTGCGTCTAGACTGGCAAGTTTTTCCGCTTTTGTGCAAAAACTTGCCAGCTGTCTACACTGGCCGCTTGATTTTGCGCAAAAGCACTGACATTCTACTGTCTGAAATCAGTGCTTCTTGTGCAAATGCTTTGACGGTCCCCTTCGGGCAAAAGCCCTTTTCCGGAAATGTTTTTGTGCAAGAGGGCCAGTGTAGACAGCTAAAAACTGTTTTGCGGAAAAAAAAAACCAATGGCGAAAATGGCAGTCAGGGCTTTCTTGCGCAAAACTGCGTCTAGATTGGCAAGGACGCTTTTCCGCAAAAAGTGCTTTTGCGGAAAAGCATCCGTACCAATCTAGACGTTCTTTTCCTCAAATGTTTTTAATGGAAAAACTTTTCCGTTAAAAGCATTTGCGGAAAATCATGCCAGTCTAGACCTAGCCCAGCAGTAAAATGTCTAGCAACTGCTGGCTAGAAGAAATGGGTATTTTCCAGGTTGTAGAAGGCACCTGACGCACCCAGACTTTTCTTACTACCTGAATTCTAAGTGCAGTAGTTGAATGTAAACAGTGATTGTGTATCAGGGACTGTGCACAGTTGGCTTCTAATGAGCTCAAGAATTTCCCAAAGGGTTGTAAGGTAGCACACAGATTGCATGAGGGAATATTTAAGGCAGGGATTCCCAACCTATGGGTTGGGACCCAAATATGGGTCACTGTTACATTTCAAAAGGGTCGCCAAGTGTCTCCTCAGGTGGCTCTGTCCTCTCTCCTCCCCCCATTTTTGAATTGCCTTGGGTCACCAAGTCTTCCTGAATTGTCAAAATGGGTCCCCATCTGGAAAAGGTTGGGAACTGCTGATTTAAGGGTTTCAGACAAACTCTTACTTGGTAAATGGCATAGCAGAAAATCTTGTAAAATCAATTGCTAAAGTACTTGAATAACATTTACTTTCAAGAAAGCTGCTCAACCTAAGAGTGCCAGGAACAGCTGACAATATGGCTACTATTGAGTCTGCCAGTGAGCCAGGTATCCCCATGGGAATAATCAGCCATAAATCTACAGTGGTATTGCGCGCGCACACTGCAGAGCAGGCCACAGTATTTAGGGAAACCAAACAACAACACCAGCTCCCATCAGTTAAGTAGTTCTAAAGAAAGGTTTTTCAAAGGGTTTTAAAAGAAAAAAATAGTGTGTTTGAAGTGCCCTATAGAGATCTTTGGGAAAATTCTTGCTATTGTGATGAACAGGCATCTCTGGCCTGAGTGAAGAGTTGGGCAGATATGATCCATCCTGTATCATCTCATTTGCTTCTACAGGCTAAGCTATTCAGAGTACACCCGTCCGCTCCCTAGGTGCACGTTACTTGCTAGCTAACAGCTATGAAGTGCACAGTCCACGCAGCGCTTATTAGTTGAAGATTCTACAATGCAGTGACCTACAGCAGTTTAATGTTCCCTAGTGTCACCCAACAGTATGCACAAGAGCTATAAAGTGGGAACCTATTTAATATTGAATAAAGACTGAGATGGGTGTAATGGGGCATATAGCCATGTAATTTTAAGCAGCACAAATACTCCGTCTCCGATGCCTAGTATTTTCCAAAACACAGTATAAAAGAGTCCATGAAAGCTTACATAGCTCTATAAATCACTGGTTTCACAGTATGCTGCCAAGGACACGTTTTATTTTAACCTTTACAGAAACTTACAACATTGAAAGATTCACTTGTTTACTGTAGAATGTTTACACATCCCTGCTCCGCAAACATTTGCATATGTGGTTCCACTGAAGTCAATGGGATGATCCATGAGTAAAGTTATACTTATGTAAAACCACAGTTCTGCAATAAGAACATGTTTGGATTAATGAGTTAGGTAGATACTTTGTGATTGTTTAATCAGTTAACTGATTAAAGGGCAGGGTGGGAGCAGTCCTCTCCTCTCCCCCCCAGCCACAGGCAGGGCTGTGCTGG